TTTTTCCCTGAGATTTTGAGATGGAAACATCTCCTACTTATTGCAATTAATAGTTCTAATACACTGCAGATGTGCCTAGTGAAATAAAAAAAGCACACATTTTAAAAGAACCTAGTTTCCTGTCCTGGGAGACTCATAATCTATTACAAGCATCCGCATTACAGAGGGCAGGAGACAAATACCACCACATTGTTTATTCCCAAGCATAGGTAAGATCTTAATTGCAGAAATGAGGCTAGCAGTGGAATGCTTCATGGAAGAACGATAATGTAAATGTTTTTATACGTGTCCAGGATATACAAAACAAAGACATGATTTTACCCCTGGTTACTACATTGGTTTCTTGTCGAATTCTGGCACAAGGGTATTGCTGCGCAAATCAGATTCTCCTGGGCAGTGAGAACCACACGGGTTTGGTGAGGGAGGACAGGGACCAACAGTGCTTTTGTAACTTTTGCTTCATTTATAGCAGGCGTAGGCCAGGTGGTGACTTCCAGATGTTTTTGATCACAGCCCCATAATCCCTCTTCCCTTGCTTTGCTGACAGAATCTGATGGGACCTGCACTGTGTCACTTACCTGTTTTACAGTGATAAAAGTAGAACATACAGAAGCAACCATGGATGCTTTTACGAGACAGCAAATTCACTATCCCACAGCAGGTCTTAATGAGCTCCTGCATCTGCAGCAGCCCAGTTGGCAACTTGGCCCTTTGTGGGAACCTGTTTTACAATTTCTGTCCCCAGCAGGGACTGCCCAAGATGTTTTACTGCCTGAGGCAAAGAGCAAGATGGAGACTCTTTCTTATCCTAGGAGTAAAATATGACTAGACTGGTACTTGAACCTTTTTTCTACACTCGCAATAGGGAAGCACCCTCTGCTCTACCTGAAGGCAACAGACTGGCTTCTTGGGTACAGAAGAGGCTTTCGGGAACACAGTTCTTTCCTCCAACACGTTGCTGCCAGCACTCCGTGCCTGCTGCTTGAAGTGGGTGCCTCGCGCGGCTTCACATTAGGGCAAGCCCTGACCCCGCCGTCTCATCCTGTGTCTTCTTCTGTAGTACAAGCAAGGAGCAGAGGGCCTTATGAGCGCTGTCAGGCAGACTTAGTTACCAGAGCATTGCTAGGGCAATCAATGCACTTTTCTCCAACTACAAATGTTATTCCCAGCCTATTAACAATGCAGCAATTTCTTACCTGCATATCGTGCAAAATGTGAGAGGTGGTGCATGCACTTCTCCATTCACAACAGCCCTGAAAATAGCTGTAATGTTTCAAGGCTGAGCTGAGGATCTGGACATGGGTCCCCACAGTCCTAGCCCATTTAACACAAGATGCTGTCTACGTTCACACAACATAAGAAGCAACCCTCCGTGGTTATTTTGGCTCACAGTTTTTACTACGATCTACTTGAGAGATGATCAACTATGTTATCATGGTTTTCATTCTCCTTCTCAGTCCTCGCACTGTTATGGAATCATAAAATTATAGAATAGTGGAGCTGGAAGGGGCCATGAAGGCCATCAGGTCCTGCAACCGGCTCTTGCTGTTTCAGGACACCAATTTATATCCCATCATGTTGACACATATCCCATCAGTCGCTGTGTTTGAAATTCACACAACACAACAAGCCATGGTGGTATGGGAAAACCACAGAACAAGCAATTATTTCTTATTGATATTTCTAAAGGCCAAACTTACCATCATGAAATATCACCAACTGGATTTGGACAGCATGACAGACAAACAATGGTTTAAAAAAAACCAATGGTTTGTTGTGTTGCCTGAACCCAGCTATTGGCTCGCACTAGTGCAGCTTAAAGTGCTGTTAGTGAAGAACTAGGCCTGGGCACCATGTTTTGAGTTAGCAATTGCTCACCTTTGCAGGATTAAGGTCAATCTCAGCAAATCATCCATGCATCTTCTTACATCCCTTCTCAGCTGAGGAGCTCATTGAGTGACTTTGGGCTAGTCACAGACCCTCAACCTAATCTACCTCACAGGACTGTTGTTGTGAGAATAAGAATGAGTGGAGGAGTATTGTATAAGCTGTCTTGAGTTCCTTGAAAGGGAAAAAGGCAGGATATAAATATAATAAATAAATACAGAGTTGTGATTTGTGGTGATTTGGGACTTTTTTGATAAAAGCACCTAGACTGTGCAATCCACCCCCCCCCACCCCGAGGCTGACAATGTTCTGGAAAATCTTTTGCTTGACTGACGTTTTGGTTCCAAAAAACTTTCCTTTGCTTCTTTTTTATTTATTTATTTATTTATTTATTTATTTATAACATTTCTATGCCGCGCCCATCACAACAAAGCCTCGGTGCGGCTCACAAAAAAAACAAAACAAACAAACAAACAAACAAACAAACAAAAAACATTTAAAACCCCCAGTGCATTCTCGGCTAATTTAAAATCCTAATAAATACAATAATTTAGCAATTAAAATAAGTTTTAAATAAAAAGGTCTTAGCTTGGTGCTGAAAAACAAATAATGACGGCGCCAGGCGGATCTCTCTGGGGAGCGCATTCCATAGATGGGGCACCACCGCAGAGAAAGCCGTCCTCCGGGTACTCACCCTCCTAATATCATTCACAGAGGGTTCCCGGAGAAGGGCATCCGTTGCTGATCTCAAGGGGTGGGAGGGCATATATGGGCGCAAGCGTTCCTTTAGATATCCAGGTCTCAAGCTGTTGAGGGCTTTATAGGTCATAACCAACACCTTGAATTGGGTCTGGACTTCAATCGGGAGCCATTGGAGCTGACGGAGAACTGGGGTTATATGAGAACAACGCCCAGTCCCCGTCAGCAACCTGGCAGCTCTATTCTGCAGCAATTGAAGTATCTGGACCATCTTCAAGGGTAGCCCCATGTAGAGCGCGTTACAGAAATCTAATCGGGAAGTTACCAGCGCGTGTGTCACCGTTGCCAGGCAGTCATTCTCCAGGAAGGGACGCAGCTGATGTATCAGCTGAAGCTGAAGGAAGGTGCTCCTCGCCACCGCCGTCACCTGAGCTTCTAGAGACAGCTCAGGGTCGAGGAGCACTCCCAAGCTGCGAACCCTGTCCCTCAGAGGAAGTGCAACCCCATTCAGGACAAGGCCCAAGTCCCCCATCCCGAGGCCCAAACCACCCACCAACAGGACCTCCGTCTTGTCTGGATTGAGCTTCAGTTTATTGGCCCTCATCCAGCCCATTACCTCGGCCAGGCACCGGTTCAGCACAGCCACTGCCTCACCTGGATTGGTGGAAAATGAGAGGTAGAGCTGGGTATCATCAGCGTACTGATGATTCCGCAGCCCACACCTCCTGATGACCTCTCCCAGCGGTTTCATGTAGATGTTAAATAGCAAAGGGGACAAAATGGACCCCTGCAGAACTCCCTGGCATAACTGCCATGGCACAGAGCCATAGTCCCCCAGCACCACCTTCTGAAATCGGCCGTTGAGATAGGAGCAGAACCACCGCCACGCGGTACCTCCAACTCCCAATCCTGCTAGCCTATTCAGAAGGATACCATGGTCGATGGTATCAAAAGCTGCTGAGAGGTCCAGGAGAACCAACAGGGACGCACTCCCCCTGTCTCTCTCCCTGCACAGGTCATCGTACAGGGCAATCAAGGCAGATTCAGATTCAATTATTGTGATGGTTGTTGCTTGGTGCTATGCTCCAGTTGCTCTGTGATGATCACTGGCATTCATATGTCATGCTGTATTTTATTTGCACTTGCTTTTAGTTTATAAGTTGCTTTAGAGGGTTTTGGTGGAAAACAGCACAGGTACTGTTGCTTTTGTGATATGGTATCAAATAATCTCTGGTTCATGATGACTTTATGAATGATGGCTCTCCAAAATGCCCTGTCCTTGAGAACCCTTTTCAGCTCTTGTAAACAAATATTACTAGAAATAAAATATGTAAAAATATGAGGATGGTTAATGTGTATTTCATAGCTTAAAACTTAGGTGGCCAGCTTGCAGCCAGAAGTGAAAGGGAGTTTGTAGCACAACCGAACAGGAAATGGAAGGCATGAGGGCCAGCCTGTAGCAGTCGATCTGGCCAGCTCTCCGGCTATGTGTTGCATCCGCCAGCATTTCTTGCAGGCAAACAAATGCAGCCAGAGCCTCAAAACTTTTAAAACACTGGAAGATGTCTTCGTGTTCCCAATAACATTCTATGGGGCTACTTTGCAAGGTGATTAAAAAAAAAAGACTGTTGGAATGAGTGCTATGCCAAAAATAGATTTTAAAAATTGATTTACATTGTAAATCAGTTATACATAGGTTAATATTTCATAGGCATCCTGAAAGTTCAGAGAGTGTAGTGAAAGGCTAGAGATAAAAAGAGATCATCATCTGCAAGTTTAACATATACAACATTAGCAATAATCCCCTCTGCCAAATAAGATTGGCTAAAACTAATGTTGCACACAGATTCCTTGCAGTCGTTTTGTATGCTAGCAGTTGTTCCTTTAAGTAAGCAAGAGCTCTACTCCCAGGTGGCTTGGGCTTTTTCCTGTGTCCTGCACTGGTTACCTCTACCTGTTCCCTCCCCTAATTTGACAAGGAAGCCCTCAATCAAATAGCCCCACTCCAGGTCGCCGCTAAAACTAGCAAGCATTGCTTGTTGGGATTTGTAGTTTTCTTTTTCCACGAGGGTATAGAGTGGGAGAGATCATGGATTCTTCCTGTCCCTGGGGAAACTGGTGTTCATGCGGAAGCTCTGGTCGCGCATAGAAGAGCGAGGTGGCCCGGACCCAACCAGCGGGCTATTGTGTGGCTTGGCTTGACCTACGCGCAAAGACTACGTTTCCCAGAGTGCAGCGGGAGCGGGGATAACCCTTTCTTGTTGCAGGTTGATCTTCTCGGTTGCAGATGAGCAAAAGGGAAAACAGTGGAGGGAGAAAGAGAAGGAAGGAAAGAAAGAAAGGAGGGGGTGGGGAAGAGGGGAGGAAGGAGGACGAGGAGGAGGAGGAGAAGTAGCATCTCTTGGCAGGCGAATTATGCATGCACTAAGCGAGCTCTGAGAGAATGGCTGTGGAAGGTAAGGGCTGCGGTTCTCCTGCCTTTTCCTTTTGCAAAGCCGAAGGTGTCCCCTGCTCCTGAACCACCACCCTCCTCCTCCTCCTCCTCCTCCTCCCACCTCCTTTGCGCTCCCCCTTGCACTCCCCTGAGGGGCAAGCGCGGAGGAGCGGTCGGCTGGCTGGCTGGCTGGCTAGAAAGGGGAAAGTATCCATCGGATGGGGCTGGGATTGCGGGAGAGGAAAGAGGACAGGGGCAGCCTTCCTCGCCTGTGCCAAGCGAGCGGGGCTCTCGGTGGGCTTGGCACGGGCAGATCTGCATGAATGGGCACTTCGATGCGGAAGGAAACGGGTTGCGAGGGGCTGCCAGGAAGCGCTCGCGGCCCTTCCCTTCTCCCGCTCTGCAAGCCAGGATGGCTGCCATCCCAGTGGAACCATCTCACCTGGTCCAGGCGAGAGAGGAACAATTTTCTCCCACGATTTCCCAGCCGTTCCCCGCCCCGCCCCCCGCAAGCCGAGTTTTTACCTTCCTTCCATTTGAAAGCAAAGCTGCTGTTGGATTAACCATCCATCCATCCATCTTTCTGCAGACTTCTCTTAAATGTGCATTCTGAAGCCCCATTTCATTTTTATTTGACGACCCCTCTCAGGCTGTTAGTGATTTAATCTCTATCCTTACGTGTTGCGTTGCTCTCCAGCCTTTAAAAGCATCATTGCATCGTTTCCAGAGTCTAAAAGCAGTTCGATCATCCTTGCTTTCATTATCCAACTTCATTCCTAGAGCTTTGCTTGAGCTCATGAACCCTTTAAAAAAATACTATGTTCAGAATCATTTTAAAGCTAACACTGGGACATGTGAGGTTGTTAAATAGTGCTGTTGAACCTGAATGGTGTCTCCTCTCAGTTTTAGATGTGCGAGTTTGAAGGAGGTCTTATTCTCCACAGCCCCATGAGGTGGATTCCACCTCGGTTCCATGTCACACATGTTGTATTTGTAACGTTAAACACAGAAGCAGTGTTCAACACTCACTAGTTGTTGTAGGAACAGAGTTTGAATTTGTGAAGGATAGCACTGATTTCTCAAACTGTTTAGGAAGCATGAGGGGCCTCAAAAGCTTCTCCGTAGTTCCTTGGGGAGAGGTTTGATACTGGTGAGCAATCATTCTGAAGGATGACCTGCCTGGCCTGAACTGTGAATGCCCCAGAAATGTACTGAAGGAGTGAGTGTTGGGTGTGTTCTAGATGACAAATCCAGTTCTTGTAAGGTGTTTGTGTGGCTTGACAGGCCTGTGTTCTCCAAGTACCTAGGCCTTGCATACATGGTCTGGTCTATACCTCAGAATCCTCTGTGGCACGAAGATTCCTTAGTGGACAGGCCAACATGGAAATGATGCCATCAAGGCAGAATGCTGGGAAATCACAAGGTTAGAGCCATGCCAGTTCTTTTCCAGTAATGATGTCGGGAAGAAAACGACTGGCTACTTTGCAACTAGTAGTTTTTAGACTTTCAGAACTTGGAGTGAAAGTTCCCCTGATGAAATTACTATATATTCCATAACATTTCCGCTAACATCTAAAGTATTCTGCAACCAAGACCCAAATGAATACTTTAGTGATTTAAATACTTTCTGCTAGTTTTCCCCAACTTGGTGGCCTCCAGTTGTTTTGGTTTTTAACTCCCATTAGTTCCAGGTAGCATAGCCAGTGGGCAAGAATCTTGGTAGGCATAGTCCAAAAGATAAGGAGGGCACCTGGTTGGAGAAGGCTGCTTGAGGCACCGAATGGCTTAGTCAAGTTCAGTGGTTGGTTTTGCTCTCCAAAGCATTTGCAAAGCAGCCTCTTCTGCTTCGCCACTGGACACGGCGAACTGCACAGGTGGGGCTTTGCATGGTGTGACCTATGAAAGCAACCAGTTGTGGAACTGAAATTGGAGCTACACTCCAAATATGTAATAAAAGCAACTCTGTTCCATAAAGTGCAGTATAAAAAAATTAAGAATGTGTTAAATTGCAGCATGTTTCCCTTTTCTACAACTGGCTCTTCCATCATTTAGAAACTTAAATAATTCTTTGCAGTTTTTTTTAAACAGCAGTCTAGCGAGGTGGGTTTTCTTCATTCTCCAACCTCCACTCCTAAAAACCAGATGGGACACACCTAAGGAATGTTGTCCCACATCTTTAAGGCTGTAACAGGAAAGGCGGGTCTGTTGGTTTGGATCCAAAGGAAGGAACATGAATGTGTGGTCCAGAACAATGGACATGTTTTCAGTATTTCTAATGCCCAAAAGGTCAGGTGCTTACCTTGGTGGCGGGAACTGCCAAGATGGAAGCAGGCCATTTACAGATTTGCTTGCTTTGAAACTAAGTTAAGGTTGCAGTTCTGTGTGCACTTACTGAAGGGATATGCTCTTCCCACCCTCACCTCAAGTGCGATGAAACTTGCTTTTGCGTACGCATCCGTAAGTTCATTTTGCTTTCCTCAGCTGTTCCGTTCATAATGTGAATAGGTCGTGGGGATGGGCATGAACAGAAGCACCACCCTCAACGTCTGTGTGCATAGGGGTTGCTCTTCCATGCTCCATGGAAGAGCATGGAGCTCCATGCATCCATTTGGAGGTCTGGAGAACCTTATTGGATGAACCCCATTTGGCATGTTCACCAACTGCTTGGTGGAAAGAAATCCAGAAGAGAGAGGCAGGCAGGCAAAGATCAGCTCAACCTCATTCTCTCAGCAGTTTTTCACTGTTGCTGAAAGATGATAAAACTCGAATAAAATATAAATATTAAAAAATAAAAACCTGGATGCCCCAGTTCAATTGTCACTCCTTTTAGCCACAGAGCATCATCATGATCATAATTTTCACCTATTCCTTGTATTTATTTTTGTATTTCTTTACTCTGCACCACTGAAGCTCTCTGGGCAGTATTGGGACTCTAGGTAATCTACAACCTTGAAAATAAAAAAAATTAAAGTTGCTTTAAATTGTGAATAGCCCACAGAGCTTTGGCTATTGGGCAGTATCACAATATAAAAAATGAAACAAGCAAAAATCTATCAAGCAAGCCAGGATAGTCAACCATAGTTTAATTTAGCACTAATATCCTAGCTAGTTCTGAAGATGGTACTCATTGTTTCCCAGTTCAGAAACTTGATACTTTATAGCTGGAAGTGTGAACTGATTCTGAAGAATTCTGCTTTGTGATGCAAGCATTGTATGTGGTGATTGATGGAAACAAGTTACCAACTGATGTTCCAGTCAGTCCAAAGGAGAACATAAAAGGGCCCCTGCTGGATTGGATCAGGGGTCCATCAGCTGCAGCATTCCCTGTTGCCAGTAGAAATCAACCTATCTGGTGGTTTGCTCCAGCAACTAGTACATGTAGGCGTATACATATGGCTTCAGTGGCTTCAGTTCAGTGGCTCAGTGGCTTCAGTTCAGGTGTTAAACGTGCCTATGTGAGCATGCCTTTGTTGTTCTGTTGATGCATTTGGGGTGGTGGTGTAAAAGTATTTGCACTTTGAAGTTTTCTGCTTTCCATTTCTCTTACTAAGAATTACTTCCCCATTCTTTCTGCCTGGGGACAAGTTGGATCCAAAATATGCACTTTATTTTGTTGCTTGAGTCAATGCAGTAAGACCTTTGTGTACTAACAGGAAACATTTTAGGCTGTATGAAAAAACAAAACCAAACACTCAACTCTTGGCATTGGAACAGGGCCTTGCAGCTGGGAGGTAGACGGTTTGTGAGGCAACCTGAGGGGAAGGCCTCCAAGCACAAAATTGCATTCCAGAGAAGCTTTTGGGGACAGCATTTACTGCCCAAATGGGCACAGTGAAATATCCAGAATAGCAGCCTAGGTTAGCTTACAGCTCTTCTTGCCAGCCGCTAAGCCATTGGAGGTAGAATGAGGGGTGGGGAAGCAGAGAAACTAGGAAGCCATTCAGTGATTGGGGCTTTTCAAGCTTGTTTCCCATTGGGGGAAAGGGGGTGGGGCAAGATGGGAAACAAGAAATTCTGGATAAGTTCAGATCCCAAGCAGGCTCAGTCCACTCCCCAAGAATCTCTGTCCCTGCACTATAGATACCCTTTGGAGTAAGGAGACCCACAAACTGAGGTCCTCAAGCATTAGAAGTCTATGCTTGTTTTTGTTACCAGCTCCTGGAGATTCTTACCAAGCATAAAGAGATCAACAGTGATACCAAGTCTTTGTTCACTGATGCAAAGGGAATGTAAAAGAAAAGACACCAGGGAGAAGGGCTGCTCTTTCTCTTCTTATCATGAATGAAAACCTGCCAGAGGCTCTGGGGACAGAGTCCTCACTAGAGGGAAGTGGCACTTGACCCTGGTGGGCAGGCAACCGTAATAGCCATTAATCTTCCCTTTTTCTGTATTAGATCGACAGTGATGTCATTCTTAATAAGACAGTAAAGAAACAGTGGAATTCCCCCAAGCTGCTCTTGCTAGTGCTGCAGATCATGGGGGAATCCCAGATTTTGTAAAGGTTCTGATTAAAGGAAGGATGCAATGTAGGTTTTGCTGCCTGCAATACAAGAGTGTGGGTCAGCTAAAGTGTGCCTCCAATTTTAATGCAGCAAAACAGCCATGGCCCCAAAACTGATCACTGGGGCAACACTGGGTTGGATAATATGAGCCTGCCCAGGATGGAGCTGATGGGCTCAGAGCACTCTGCATAGTAAGAGATCAGAGTTGTGTTCCTCATTATGGATGAAGGATCTGCATTGTCTTGATTTAGTGCACTGTAAGGTGTTTGCATTTCTTATTTTACATTTACAAAAGGCTGATCTGAGAGGCAGTAAAGAAGAAGTATACAGGCTGTCTTTAAGTATAAGTCCATTGAGACGGCTGCCAAGGTAGATCTATTTTTAGGCTGTAGAGTTTCAACAATGTTGCTTTAACTGCTTGTTTCCTTCTAGTCAAAGTGAAAGAAATAGGTCAGTGCCAATAATGGAATGCTTTTCGGTCTGTGTTAAAATGTTTGAGACTTTTTCCCCTCTGGTGCAT